CAGGGCTGGGTTAAACGCATCGTTTTGAGGCACACGTTGTACCAGGACACTCCAGCTACCAGCTTTACAGACCACACTGGGAAACAGCAAAGCCCTAACTCCAGCAGGACAGGCCTTGCAGAGGATGCATCCCACCAGGGCTCCGTGAGCACCACCCTCAGAACAAGAACAGCTGTCACTTTGCACAGGATTTCTCCCATCACCAATGCTACTAGCCTAGAGGTGGCAAAAGTATCAGAGCCACACGCATTAGGACTCACACACGGATCCTAAGTGATCCCACAGCTGCTCTGGACACACACACACACACCTGCAGACACACATCCAGGAGCACCCAAGCACCAGTTCTGCAGTTACCTATCAAGGGCTTCTTTGAAGTACTTCCTCTGCACATCGAACTGGAACACCGTGCGCTCACAGTCGGTGGAGGCGTTGTCACTGCCCCCGTGCTTCTTCAGGAACGCGTCGAACCCATTCTCATCTGGGTACTTCAAGCTGCCCATAAAAACCACTGAAACGGGAATCAGCAAAGTTACCACAAATTAAAATTAGCATTTCAAGATGTCTGGTCAGGAACTTTCTGTGGCTTCTGTACCTGTACTGTTTACCACCTGCTGCTACAGAGAAAAAGGTTTATAAAACCATATGTGATGATTCCCTCCACGTTTAACAGAAGAGCATGCATTAAGGCGCAGCCTCATCCTCCTCCCACATTAGTTCCTCACTAGGGCACTATTTTCATTACAGGACAAATTTATTTAACCAATAAAAATAAATGCCAGGTAGCTGAAACACACAAAACCATAGGAATTCAGAACTAGCTAGCACTCATTTTGCACTTGGAGAAGACGAAATAGGAGCAAATACATACTGTGTTCCAGGAAGTGTGCTAATCCAGGCAGGTCTTCGGGGTCAGAGAAGCTGCCAACAGCAACGCAAAGGGCTGCTGCAGCCTGAGGAAATACAACAGTTTCAGTAAAAGCTGCTTTGAGAAATATTTCAGGAAAATGACAGCTGTATAAGACAAATCAACAGGCATAACAGAAAGAATGAGTTTGAATGCCCAATCACAAGGTTTCAGAGCACAAGAAAGCTCTCAATAATACTTTTTTCATTCTACTGCTTTAAATACACACCTGCTTTTCTGTGCAGCCTCTCTTTCTTGTCTCTTCCTTTTCAGCCAGCTCTTCTAATTCGCTGTCATCAGGATCATTAAAATCCTCATTATCTTCTTCATCGTCATCCTCCTCATCCTCCTCATCACAGTCCTCATCAAAACCTTCTCTCCCATCTTCAATCTCCGCTCCAGAGTCATCTTCATCACTTTCCTCTTCAGATTCATCCTCCTCCTCCTCTTCCTCCTCCTCCTCTTCTGAAGATAGCGCAGATGGGGCGTCATCCAAGTAATTCAAATCCGAAATTAAAAGTGCACGTAAGCCATTCTGCAGTTTGATATACCTGAAAGAATAATTATTTGCAATGGATACACTCAGTTCCCAAATCTGAACACACAAATGTCCATGTATCTGTATATTTCCCATCCTCTTCTTCAACGAAGATTTCCTGATAAAATGAAGGCAGCTAAGGTGAGCAGCTCTGCAGTGGAAAAGTAAAAAGACTCTTCTGATATTTAACAGCTAACAGAGACAGGAGAAAGCAATTACAGGCAGAAGCTGTACACCCCACAATGCTCTAGACTTTGATTTAAGCTTTTATGCCTCTCTCTGCAATAGACAAGCTACTAGCACCTGAGAAAGATTAGGTTAGAGAAAGATTTATGGACTCAGAATAGGTGAAACCAAACATCAGTAGAGTATCATGTTTGGCAGGCTCTCGTCACACAGATGACGTGGGTGAACTAAGATATTTGTTTTTGCCTCAAAGTAGGCCATGCAGACTCCATCTTATTTGATTTTAGAAATGCTTTCCATCAAATGGGGTGCACAGGTTTTTTAATAGATGTGTTAAGTCCATGAAGTACAACTGCTCCTCAAATGTAGAACTGAAAGCACCTGCTCTGGCCCCAGTTTCCCAGTCACTAACACCTGATCTGCGCACAGCAGCACCACTGAGCACCACAGGTTCGATACAACCAGGTGAAAGCACAACTGCATTTTTGTTCATTTAAACCACAGAGCAAGGTATAACACACAGAAACATATCACTAACTGCAGGAGGTACAGACAGTGCTGAGATGTCTGGGCACAAAGTCAATCAGCCACGTGTCCCAACGATCTGGGATAGAGAAGCACGTTTGTAGCACGCGCGTCACATCACGCAGCTGCAGCACTTCTGAACGCACAGCAGAGTCCCAGAGCCAGGAGCACTGCGCACTCAGCTGCAGTGCAGGAGCTGCAGGCAGCACGAGGCAGGGCTGCAGCACGCCTTCCAGCACCTCCTCGTGCAGCTGTCTGCTTCTGCTGTCTGTGCCCACAGAGAATGCCCTGGGAGCAACACAGCCACGTAGGCAGAGAACAGCACAGAGCCACCTACCCCTCCAGAAGGCTGAATGCCGTGAAGCTGCTCAGCCAGGTGTATCCAATAGCTGTGTTTATCCCTTCCCCACACCGCCATTAAAGCCAGGGAACAGATGATACCAAATTGACAGTACTCTCTTCAGGCTTGTGGGTGATAGACGCTAACAGCACCCAGCAGCAGGTAACAACATAACCCCTCTTCTGCTGAATGCCATTAGGTTGCAATGCAGGAGCACAGCATCAGGCTTTACCCAGCAGAGCATCACCAACACAGGTGCTCTTTTTCCATGTTTCAGTCCAATGGAAAAGAACAAGTGCAATCAATATACAAATGTATCAACTAGCGTGCAACATACAGATGGAAAAATACAACATAGCAAGAGAAGCAGCTTAGTCCAATGGCTGACTGAATGGGCACTGACACAAACAATGTATTAAACAGACAATGAAATTCTTCAGAACACATCCTGGGTAAGTTGGAACGGATTGTTCTCACACCAACCTCGTTGTTAATTGTTCAGCAGTTAACTAAATGCTAAAATATGTATCAATGCATGATTAACACTTAGAAGTGTTTTTATTTTCCAAATGGCCCAGAACGAAGAGTACAAACCTATGAACTGCACATACATGTGTCCTTAAATGAAACAAATTTGGGGGGAAGAAATTAAAAAAAAAACACCTCTGCAACCATCCAGTCCTAACTGACAGAATAAGTCCATGCACAGAAGCCTTACCATCATTTCTCTCTGAACAAACTTCTGACAACATGTTCTGCAGTCTGCTTTGCTGTTATGAACGGTGTATTTGAGAAAACAGTTTGGTGGCACATCATAGTCTGAGTGATGCCCCCAGATAAATTAAAACAGCCACGAGATGCATTACACATCACCACCAATTTATGAACAGAGGAGAAAAAGCGTGCGTGCATCATCAGATCTCGTCTTTAAGTATTTCAGATTTGAAATGCACTTATTCGACAGAGGCTTGCTTCGCCTCCAGCAGCACCGAAGTTCTCTGTCCTAAGCGTGCATCTGCGAGGCTCACCTCCACACACGCCAACCAACCCAACGAGATACGTGCAGCCCCCGGCTTCCTCCTGAAACCCACCCGTTAAGCGCAGCTTTCTGTCAGACCTTCGTCAATTCCGCGGCAGCGTAAACGCGCTCTCCGTCCCAGAGCCTCAGAACACGCCGCCGGCGACTCTTCCCACGGCCCGGCCCCTCCAGCCGAGAACCCGGCCCGCAAACGGCAGCGGCAAGGAAGCGGGACCAGAAGGGAGGAGCAAAAACCGCCGCGCGGCCAATGGGAGCGGCGCGCGTCCGGCAGCCAGCCGGGAACTTCGCTCGGCCGCACGGAAGGCAGCGCGCATCGCCCGGCGAGAGCCGTGCCTCGGGGCGGCTGCGTGCCGCCTGGGGGCCGCCCGACGAAACGGCAGCGCCGCGCTTTCGCTGAACTCCGGACGCGGGTTCCGACTCGGAAACTCGAGCGGGAAGGGCCGCCGTCGGTACTGCCCCGAAACGCGCGGATCTCGGCCTCCGGACGGGCGCCCACAGAGCCACGCTGCGGCTCCTTCGCCCCTCACGGCCCCTCACGGCCCCTCGCCCACCTCAGCGCCCGCCGCCCGTTCCCCCGGCCCACTCGGCGGCCCCCCGGGCCTCACCGGTACTGCTTGGGGTCGCTGGGGGATTTGACGATGGCGGGGTCTCCGATGTTGCCGCGTTCCTCCTCCTCCTCCGAGCGGTCTCGGGCGTCGGGGCCGCTCGCCCCGATCTGCTGCCCCATCGTCAGCTCCGGGCAGCCGTAGTTAGACGTCGCCTTATTCCTACCGGGCATGGCTGCGGCCGCGCAGCGCCACAACGGCCAGCCTGAAGGGCTGGGCTGAACGGCCGCGCTGGACGGCCGGGCTGAGCCGCGAACCGCCGGCGGCGGCTCCGCCACGGGCCGCGCCGCTCGGCCCCTCCGCACGAAGGCCGCCGCGAGCCTGCGCGCGAGCCTGCGCATGCGCCGCCGCCGCGCAGCCGCCACCCCGCCGCCAACCCGGCCGGCTTCCGCCGCCCGAGGAAGTGGCGGTGACGGTTGCCACGGCTCCAGTCAACGCCCGCCGCGGTGCCACGAGCGGAACGCGGCCCAATCGCGGGCCCTCGTCCGGCCGGAACGCGCTCTGATTGGCGGAAGGGATAGGGGTGGCGTGTGGACCGCCTGGCCTCGTTTCCTCCAACGAGCGGCCCCAGCCATCGGCTCGCGTGAAGCGCGCGGCCGCTGCTCGCTGTGGGCGGTTTGCTCGCGCGCTGATGAAATCCGTTACAGCTTCACAGCTGTTCCCGTTTCTGACAACACGAGTTACGCCCAGCCCCGCTGTGCTGTTACTGCGCTGCACGCCCCGTCAGATCTGCAAAGCGGTTCTTGAGTGCCAGGCTCAAGGACCAGCAAAATGTGCTCATACAGCTCGATCAAAAGCGTTAAGGCACCTCTGTGCATACACACGACTGGCTGCTGTGACACAGCTCCTCCAGGCACACCTGGTGGCCACATTTCTCTTTATTTGGCAGTTTCGGAGGGTTCACATACAGTAATGGCACTCCTGGCGTTGCACAAGGCGAATTTTCAGTAGCGGGTCACACACACCCAAAGTCACTAAAGATTTCTGCAAACAACAAAATGCGGTGCAAAGGGTTCAAGCCTCGAGCATGCTGAGCTCAAACAACAAGATAGTGGCATTTTTCTCCAGAAAACCAGTGTTTTTTTTCTTAGAACTTTGAGATGTGACAACAAAACTCCAAGAGTGAATGCTAGTGCCATCATGGGGACAGCGCCATGGGCAGATGCTGGACTCCAGATTCTGACAACAAAGTCTCCTTGGTCAGATGAACATATAGGCCTGTGGTAAAGCCATAAAACTTTTCCTAGTTACACCACTAATACAGCAAATTTCTTCTACATCCACCTCATTTACATTTACTGATGCAACCTGCAGTCACTGCTTGGAGCTGCGCTGTGCAAACCATGGTGCAATCATGGACAAAGGCACATGCTACAGTTTTACAGATTCACAAAAGCAGTTCCTTATATTTCAGAGAAATACGAGCTCTGCACGTGGCACACATACAGAGTTCTACACCCATACAAAACTTCATCTTTTAGTACAAGTATATATTTAGTGCAATAACATTGTAGGCGTCGAATATTAAAAATTATCCATCCCCTCAAAGAATCATGCCACATCTGTAGTGTACCCAACAGGATATCTTTGATGTTTTATTCATCGCGTCTTTCCCCACACACTTCTTCTAAAATTATACATAGTGGTTGAACCTGAAACTTGAAAATCTATCCTCACACATGCACCGTCTAGCACAAAATTAAAAAATGGAATCAACAACAAAACACAGAAAAATTTAACAATATTGGCAATGCTACTTTGGCTCCTGCTTTCTTTCCGAGCTAGTGCTGTTTCTAAGTCTTATATACCATAACTTGCCTCCAGCCAAGCACACAGCAGCCAATTCCTCATGTCCATCATCCTGCAACTCATCTGCCACCGAGCAGCTGATCAGAGTAGATCCAAACGTAGGCATTTGCAACACTATGCGATTCTTTTTCTTCATTCAGTGTAACTCACACATTAACAACTAGGTGCACTCACAATATTTATTCAGTGTTTCTTTTTAAATTATCAGATAATATATATTAAACACTCCAGCACATTAAACACACCAGTTTCCTACAACAGAGACTTCTGCCTTTGGACTACATGGTAACGAACCACAAAGAAAGAGAGAAAATTTAGTCAGGAAAGGAGAAAGACATTTCCCAGCTAGAAAGGTCACTAACATGAACAGTTCTGCTGTGAAGGGGGTGGGTTGTCCGTGAGCCTCACATTCCTTCCCGAAGTGCCCCTGGAAGGGTCCGACTCTATACTCTCTGACATCTTTTCACAGATTATATCCACAAGACGCTCAAACACCTGCCTTACGTTGATGTTCTCTTTGGCACTAGCTTCAAAATAGTCAAAACCTGTGGGGAAAAAATAAATTAAAAACAATAATAATAAGTCAAGACTGATGATATGGAAATGATTTAAAAGAATACTCTTCCCCCCCCCAGAATTCACCGTAAGAAAACAAGATACTGACAATTCTTAGGCTCAGTTGACTCTCACTGTCTCAAATACTGAGCAGAAATGCATCTAAAATTCACCATTCCTGCTGACAGCTGGCACTGCTCCCCTCCCACAAAGGCCTGAGCTCTGCCCTACCAGGAGCAGTGTGCTGATCTGCCAAGCTTTTACCTGTGATGTTTTGGGTCTCACACTTTGTCTTTCTAAACCAAGGGCCTCAAAGACCAACCATCCCTTACAATAGCTGTTGCTTACATGCCCTGGGCTATTATTTTGCCAGCAGCACAAGCTCAAATGTCACGCAGCTTATTTTGGAATAAAACACAGTTATATTTTGGGGGTATCCTGCATCAGTTTCCTTGATTCTATACAAAAGAAGGGAAAGAGAAGTCTTAAGTGACAGCCACTGCTTGTAGACTGACTCACTCTTTGTGTAGTACAAATAGGTGCTTACCCTATTCTAACCCTTTTTAAAAGTCACGGAATAACAGGGGAATTGGTGGTGGAAATGTACATAAGGACATAAGAAATCAGAGAACAGAACTATGATATTTGCCTGTCTAACACTGGTCTAGCTTTTGCTGTGGCAGAAGCTGTTTTGATTCAGTTCACAGTCAGGCCAATACGTTTCTTAATGTGGTTGGAAAATGTTTCCAATGAAGTTAATGCTACTGCACAAGCTTAGAGAAAAACGCTAAAGGATATCCTTTACGTGAATCATTAAGGTGAATGCTAATTGTTTAAGCAGCCAATAGTCAATTAAAGAGATTCCTCCCACCCAATATACAAAGCAATTTCAGATAATGCTGAATGCAGCTATCACAGTAAATACACTGTCTGGTAAAACCAGATACTTTTTCCAGTTCTTTTAAAAGACCATTCTGGATGCTGGGAGGCTGCAGAACAAGAGGGATGGGACAACACTTTCCAAATACACAATTAGCTTTTGTTATCCTTCACAGTGGAATGTGTCCAGCAGAGGACAGATCAGGGAAGAGCTGGGGATTCTCCAACAGAACAGCAGCTTGCTGATGGAGTCAGTTCCTATGGCAACTCCTGCACATGCACGTGCTTCCAAGCATCCCACATGTTACAGTTTCAGATTCTAGATGCCAGATTTGTATTTAAACATACAGATTAATGATTCTGGAGGGAGGGAGAAAAAAACATTTGTAGTCCATATAGAAGTGGGAATTTCAGCAAAACTCAGTATTTGATTTTATATTGGTGTGGACAATTTTTCGACTACTAACAGTGTAATTACTCTTAGAAAAAACACAGAAACACAGGCACAAATTGGAGAAACTGCAAGAAAGAACCTGGATTACTTGTACTTTCAAAGATATACTGAATTTCAGTATGTGGAAAAGATATGCAAACTGGTGATCTGATCAAGGTCACTCTTTAATCATCTACACATTGTACACTGCGCCCCCATACCCGCAGTTTAACAACGGATTTTACAACCTCTGATTACTGCTTAAGAACTGAGAACAGCATAAGATTTCATTAATTTGTGATTCTGATTATTCCTTTCAGTTTGGTAAGAATCTCTGCTCTTACAAACTAAACAAGGATTTAGAGCATGTCCAATGTAAGGGTCTTCACAATTTAACTACAGTCAATTTTAACAGGATTTTCTTGCCATGTGAATTCTTCAAGAGAAGACATTACAGTTAATGCAGAAACCCAGATTCCATATGCTATAATATATAATGAAAATATTAAATACATGAGAAATCAAGGTGAGTGTACCCTATACTTTGTTGTCCCCTCAAAATTTTTCACTGCAATTCTAGCTTCCTCTCAATGGAGCTCTTTACTAAAGTCTAGTACAAGTTTAGAACATTCTACTAAACTCTACTAAACACATACCCAGCTGATCAGCCAGATGTTTCCCTTTCTCCAAAGGAATGATCCTTTCATCCTCCATGTCACATTTGTTTCCAACCAGGATCACCTGTGCATTGTCCCAGGAGTAGGTCTTGATTTGTGTGGCCCTGCAGCAGGATGAGAAAGACTGTTTCCTTCCATCAGCCATGCCAAAAGACAATCACACTTTAAATATAAAAATAAATACCATTAAGCAATATCCATATCCAAAGACTGTTGATCAATTAAAAGACAAATGACCAAACTTACACATGAAGCAAAATGCAACCAATGTCATCTGCAACCCCATTCTGTTTTATTATTCCTTAACTTTGTATGACAATAAAGTTCCTTAATACTTTGTGTTTTACAGATCTTTGGATGCAAACAAAAATACTGAACTGAATGAAGACTAAGGGAAAAAGCGAACATCTCCATCAGCTGCAATCTCAGAGGAACAACATCCAATCACACCTTTTACCGTCTTCTTGGGAGAGAACACATTAATAGATACACAAAAATACTTCAGAGCAGGAAAAAAATAATTCTGATTTGCAGCAGCACATTTGCTGCAGAGTTTTAGCAACGTCATAAGTTGTGTTTTGAGAGTCAAACAGAGTCATGTTTGCTTCAACAGGAAAACCATCCTAGAGTCTGCAAGTTGCATGGAAACACGGAAAGAACTGCTAAAGAAAAACAGAAATGTTCCTGACTGGGAACATATAGGCTCAAGGTAACGTTCTGTAAGCTAACATTTGAATACAGCTGGATTAAGTGATACCTGAAGCAGCAAACAGCAGCTGCAATGACAGACTGCATACATCTGACAAATGCTCACATCAATAACAGAGGGATCAAACGTGTGGGAGTTGAAGCGGGAGCACTGAGGTGAACTTGAGCCACAGAGAGCTTTGGAGGCTTTGTGTGCTGAAACTGGAATGGAGCTGCCTGTGAACCTCAGGAGTCTGACCTTACACTTAGCCTCTTTATAGTTTTTTTTAAATGTCAAAATAAAATATAGATTTTTTATAATGAGGGCCAGTCTCTTCTCACCATCCTCAGGGGGTTGTCACAGAGATTGCAGCAGAACAGTATTAACCTGGTACCATTAGTTTTCATCCATTTTCCAAGCTGGCCTGGCCTATTTTGTCTTCACCAAGCCAGCTCTATCTTTTAAGTCTCTCTCCTTCCCAAAGGTAATTAGGCTGCCGTGCCAGCAGCCTAATAGGCCTTCGTATTCCATTCCTCCTCCAAACAGTTAGCCTGTCCCTATCCACCTTCCCATATTTTTTCCCTGCTCATGCCCAATGCAAGTTGTTTACTTGCTGTTGCAATGCAAATCAGATGGCATGTAACTCCACAGTGGTCTGTGAAAAAGGGCTCAATTCACTGCACAACTTGACTTTAAGCAGCAGCCCGTTTGATTTGCAATGGAAAACACAAATCTAGAGCAAGCCCACTGCACCAGTCCAGGTCCACACTGCAATATGCAAAATTAAGAAGACTCTGTGCAATTAAACTTGAATTCCTATTACTACCCAGGAAAAGGGCTCCTTCACTTTCACCCTGCTGAGTGTCTCCCATGTAGACAAGTCCAGTGAGAGCTATACAACAAGTTTATGCAGTATCCTGTGCTTCTTCAAGGCACATCACAGAAGGGGTGGACTTCAGAGGTCAGTCAAAAGCCCAGAAAGATGGAAGTGTTCCATTCTCACTCTGTAGACAACTACGAGAATGTAAGTCTCGCCAGGCTCCTCTTCTGATTCCTATTCTCCTCTCTGGATTGGTTTCAGCCTTTGAGGGGCTCACATGAAGGCACACTGCCAAATCTTGGCTATCTAAATGGAATTACTTGGAAAATGAAAAAGAGGAAAAAAACATGAAGGCCCTCCTGCTGAAACTCACCACTCTCGATTTGTAAAAGTTAGTGAAAATCTTCTCTCTCCAAACACTGACATTTACAGTTATTGGGAATGATATCATAATAATAATAAATACTTCTACAAAGTAGAATGTTCCAACAGTTCTTATCCCTATCCCAAAGATAAAGCAGCAAATCTTCAGAAAGAGTTATTTAAAAAAAGAAAAACAAAAACTTACGCAATTGATTTGCTTGAACAACTTTGAGGACAGTTCAGGGTACAAATTGGGAAAAATATCTGTGACACAACAATAAAGTTATGCCTTATTTGTGCTGAAATCTCCAAGTCATGATGAAGCACATGATTTTTAAAATTCATGCTTGGAAGAAAAATAGTCTCAGGTCCACAACATCAACAACCTAATTTGGAGACCAGCCTTAAAGATAAATAATGCAGTGATTTGTGAACCCAGTTATCACTTAAAACTAAGTTAAATTTAACCAATCTTTCCTTCCCTTCAATGAAATTGCCTAGGATTGTCCAAATTATATTTTACTTCCCACACAGTTTCAAATGAGGTTTAATACACTGATTGATCTACACACAAAACTATCAAGGCAATGTCAAAGAATAACTGGCAGAGAAGACTGTTAAGAAATCTGGAAACTGAAAGCCATAAGAGCTCATTTAACCCTTTCACTCAGCCTACAGAAAAAAAACATTCATGTGAATGAAAATCTCATGTCTATACAAGACATCAAGAGCTTGTCTAAATGCCTGATATAGGCATGACCTTCCTTATTTAGAAAAGAGCACCTTTAGGACAAAAGAGTACCTTTAGTTAAGGTGAAGCATTTCTGTAGTGACACAAAGTAAACTCCAATCCTCTACAATGCCCATTCTTAAGAAGGGCATAGGAAAAGATTGCCCAAAGAAATTCTGAGGCAGTTAGAACAGTCACTGCCAAGGAGCCAGAGAGAGGAGGTAAAGTGCAGTGTATGCATACACAGTAAGTTTTAGAGATGTTGCAGCTTCATGATAAGGCTTAGAGAATAAACAAGCTAGCAAACACAATCTCTGATGGCAATTTTCACCCACTAGCTAGAGGGTGATTATAACCTCCCTGGTATCTTAGAGCTTCACAAGGGAAAAGCTCTCTCTTCAGCTGAGAGCTAACTATGCACAAGTCCACCCCCCTGTAATTTCAGTGTAATGATGAAGATGAATTTTGGGACCTTTACACACCCTTGGGAACTCAGCAGAAGCTGAGAGTTTGTCATGGGCAAGAGCTTACTTGGAGCTCTAGGTCTCAGGCTCAGCTGTTCATGCTTCTGGCTTGTTTTCTGTAGGGAGCTTTGCAGGAAGAAATGGTGCAAGAGAAAGCAGTGAGATGGGCTGAGCATCATATTGGCAGCCTGCTTATATCTTAATAAACCAGAATCACTGAGCAGCAGCAGGCAGGCACCAGCAAGAAGGAACAAGCTTTAGACTGGAGAATGTTCTATTGAAAAACACATAATGACTACCATGCATTACAGTATATGCTAAGATACTACATAGTAAGTGTACAACACAATATGCTGAAATTGTGCCTATACACTAAGTTGCCCCTGGCTAATTTCAAAACACACTTGGTTAAATCAGTGTAGAATTGCATAAAGAAAACCTAAGGGAAGTTCAGAAAAGATATAATAAATGTCTTTTCTATCTGAGAATTCTGATAATACAGTACTTTTTTTTTTTTTTAATTCCATCCGATGGACTTCATTCTGTTGCTCACTGCATAGGTCTCATCTGTAGCTTATCTAGTCTTTCTGTGTCTTGAGAGAGACACTCAAATTCCATCCTCACGTGCTACTTCAGAATAGGCTCCTCTTAAAGGGTTTAATTCATGTTAATTGAATACTGCTCATTTATTCTCAGTGTCTAAAAATGTCAGTCAATTTGCTGCATCACACTGCATTTATCACAAAACGTTTAACTTCACAGCATTCTTTATTTACTGTGCTTGGAAACAAAAAACAAAACAAAACAAAATACAACCCACTATCACTAGCCAGCTAGAACAAGGCACTTAAAAGGGAGAAAAGATATATAGGACTAATTGCTGTAATTTCTGGAAACTTGCAGGATGTAGAAATACTGGGATGAGCTCTGCTGTCAGCTTTTACACATGTTCCAGGTGGATGCTCCAACTAATCTCAGTGAATATTTAAGTAAGGTCTTAGCATGGCTTGCTGCAGCCTCACCTAAACCTCTGTGCAAGCAGAAGCTGCCAAACAGAAGCACTGCAGGGCTGCTATAGCTTCCTTTTTTATCACCAGGCATGCTGCTACCTTGCACAGTTGACCTTGCAGGCCACCAGGCTCAGGGAGAGAAGGCTGTAGGCTAAAGCATCTTGTTCCACTCCAGTAGCAAACACTTTCATTTTTCAGAGATTGTACAGTTCCTGACTGAAGACCAGATCCATTGCAATGGCTTTTGGTTTGTTCTCGTTTGTTTGAAATATTAAGTGCATCACCAAGCACAGTGGAAAACAAAAAAAGAAACCAAAACATCCTACATATTTACTATGCTAGCAGTATGCCAGGGGCTGATACAGCAGCACCAACAATAGACAAAAGCCTCGATTTGCATTTCCAGTCTCTTCAGAAGTTTAGAAAGCAACTTTGTAGACTGGGAAAAAACTCTTTGCTGCATCACCACTAGAGGACTCTGCTGGCTTTGCTACAAGTCTTTGGTTCGTCTGTGGACAAGAAAAGGAAACGGGCTACAGGCTGATTTCATCCACACCCCATCCACTTGGGCTGAGAATCTTCAAGCTCATGATTGGAAAGATTCCTGACATGACAAGTAAAAATCACCAGTGACGGTTCACCTCTGTCCTTTTGCTGGAAAGTTCCTCTTAGCAAAAGTTCCTACTGCAGCCACTGTGGCACAGGGAGATCGTCAAGTAGGCAAAGCTGACCTTTTCTTACACTGCTGCACCATTGCTTTTGATGGAACAAACGTTAGATCATTTCAGTACAAAGCCTCAAGTTAAACTGTGCCTTAAGTTTAAAATAGTAGTGCACAGTAGCAGCTCATAGATTGAATTTTAGTACTTCTTTTTCATCATTTAACTGAAACAGAGAATATATATAAAAAGACTGACAATTGTACAAGCTTTGTCCATCTCAAACACCTGCAGAAACACACCATAATCTTCTATACCTGTATACTTCACAGATGTAGAAAAATGGGTGGAAGAAACACAATTGGAAAGTTAGAGGCGCACAAGATAAATATGGCTTAAACTTGGATTTCATAAGCAAAATTCAAAACCAAAATCCCCCTTTAAGTTGGGTGATTTTTAGACATCAGTGCCAAAGCCAGTGACCTGGTGCTGTCTTTTGCTTCTACGCTATGTATTTATTTCCAAGGTGTTTGTTTCCTTAAAAGAGCACTACATACAAGGGATATCAAATATAAGGAAAAAGACATCTGAAAGGAACTCTTTTGTGATACAGAAGGAACAACAACAGCCCACATTTGTATAACGAGGAAATTTATATAATCAAGTCAGATATCTCCTTCAAAAATATCTCCATGAACTACCCCACTCCAAGCCCTTGTTAGTTGTTTATTTTGATAGTACCTGAACCCTGTGTGTTTGCCTGCTAGTTGGACAGCATGCACACAGTGACTGGTCAGACAGGTAGAACAATCCAAGTTTCCTCACACATCTCACTGCAAGAGTGAGTGGAAACTGCATTTTTAGATTTGGCTAAACTAATAAAACTTATTAGAGGGGAAACAACTTGCAGACAGACACATAAATGGGCTGTATGGCCCTAATATACCTTGTTTCATCAAGAAATCAAGCTGAAATATTCCTAGTTTAGTGAAAAATATTGCCCTAGCTCACATGCCTATGGAAAACAGTCTTCTGGAAAAAATCCCTGTGTAGGTACTTGCATGAATTTGGTTAAAGCTGCATCATGTGAATGAATCTGATTTGGGCAAAACTTCGGGTTTGTGCTTCTAGCAAGGAAAAAAATTTTTTTGCACTGGCTGCTGAACTACAGGTTAGAGAAGGTGCTGCAGTTCGCCTTCTGCAACATGGCATCTTGATACTGACCATAAGGTGAAAGCATATGTTACATATTTATATGCAATGATCATCAGCAGCTGCTTGAGTGGACAGTGAGAGTGAGTAGGGAGCAATCTCAGAAGAATGCAAAGTTACTAGAAACATCTAACTATGTTATTTTGCCTTCTGAGTTACAATCTAGCTTTGATGATAATGGAAAGACGTTCAATAAAAACGAAGACTGAGCTGGATGCTAAGAGCTAGAGCCATGTAAGGAAGTTTTACGTCATCTATCTGCTGCCATCACATACTCCTGGGACACTGCGATCACTGCAAATTCATCTGGCAGACTTAAGAGATTCCATTAACCTCTGTGCTACCTTTCTTTGCACTCTCACCATACCTAACTGCAGTATAAAGCCACAGGGTGACACACAGCAATGACTGCAAGATATTTGAGGTCACCTAGGTCTCCCTTATCAACATGATAGTTGTAACAAGAATTGATGTTCCCATGTCAGTGCTCAGCACTGAAAAGTCAGAGACGTGATCTGGTTTCTTTGCAGTTCCTTATAGCAGGGATACATCCTCCTCACCACCCAGCTCTGAACAGACTCTAGCTGCAGTCATATATGAAGGAATTCACAATTTCTGTCCCTCACAGAGATTGTTACCAGAGCTGGATCAGCGTTGAAGAGGTGCCTTAGAGTCCCTTTGAGAGGATGCCATGGCAGAACCAGAGCTCCAGCAACAGGGTCCAGCCTTCCACTCACCTGTGCTGCACTTACAGCTTCTACCTTGCAGCTGCTCAAATATTTCCACCCTTTCACCACAACACTGATAAGAGAACATCTCCCAGCAACTGCCAACATGGAGTCTACAAGCTCTACCCTTGGCCACACTCTCTTGCATGAAAAGAAGTGGCCAAAACCAAACAAACAAACAAACCAAACTAACAACAAAAATAATAACTTTTTTCCTACCAGTCCTGCACTGCATTGAAGGATTCTTCACTAGTGATGTCATACATGAGGATGAAGCCCATGGCGCCTCGGTAGTAGGCTGTGGTGATGGTCCTGTACCTTTCTTGTCCAGCTGTATCCTGGAACAGAACAGAATACTCAGGCTTTAAGACTCTATGTCTCAGAAACAGAAGCTGCAGTTAGGTTCTGTATCTAAAATAAGGCAATCACTTTTTATTATTACATGTTTAGAAGTTCTTATTTGTTCCCACTGAAATGAGCTTTACTTACATTTTAGCATTAACTGGGCTTTTGCATCAGTGATGATCTGTTAAATGCGTTTTGACACATGTACTATTAAAAAAATAACCGAAGATGTCAACCCCTTAATTGCTCTTCTCTGCCTCAGCTTCAATGCAGTAATAAAATGTTCACAGAGTTCACTGAAAGCTGACTCTTCAAAGCAGGCAATGGAAAATCATCAAGCATTGTACCCAGCAGAAGACATAAATGCGTGCCATTTAGTGTCATGGTATGAAATATGTCATTGAAATAGGTGCTATGGGTGATTCAGTTCTAACCTGAGGATAGAGACAGCAATTAAAAACTTGACGCGGTGAGAATTATTCTACAAAGTGAATTTGACGTGGACTGTCCCAATGAAAGTGGCTGAAGCGTGCATACTAATTTCAGATTTGTTAGTTTCCTTCAGCTTAATTCTCTTCAGCAACTACCTTTACCTGATGTTTTCACTTCTGTGTTTAGCTTGACAGCACAAAGGTGGGACTTTGTCTCTGGCACATACAACAGAAGCATTTTGAAAGACTTAAGACAGCTGGAAAGTATGTCACCTACCATCTGTTCGATGCCAACATTTATTCCTTGCAAACTGAGGAACATTTCTACATCAGATCAGCAGTTCTGTAGCCACTCTGCTCCCTCTGGACCTGCCTACAGAGCCATGGACAGAAGCTATATGCTTAAAGGAGCTCTCTTTTAGGAAATATTTGTATCATTTGAACAAAATATTTAATCCACCTTTTGGCAAACAGCAACTCTGCAAAACAGGTGGCATTATCTTCAAAGGGAACACACAACATTAGCATTGACTGCTATTTACTCTTAAGGGTCAGCAGTTCTGAGATGAGTTCTTAAGTCTTCTAAAACCCACACTTCATAAAACATTTACTGCCAATGTAATTAACAAAAATAGACTTTCTCTAGGGAAAAAGAGCCAAAAAATACTTATCACTCATACAACTATCTGGAAGAGAAAAATAAATTTGTTCAGAGCACTCTTTCACAAGCACAGGGCCAATTTCTGGTCAAACACACCACGATGCAGGGAAAACACATGAGGTATAATGAGTGGGAGACCCAGCTTGAAAATTCTACTGTCTATAGGTCCCATAAATGCAGCTTTGTTTATGCTGCATGCAAGAGACAGCATTGGCCCTTCCTGAACATGCACAAGGAAGCATGTGAAAAGGGAATTCAGCCATGAATACTTGTTGCTCTGCACCAGCACATCACAGAGGCACTGTAAGAGGAAGGTGCTTGTAAATAAGCTCCCTGCAGCTCACTTAAAAGGCTCTGCCTATTGCTGCCATGCGACTATCCACAGCTGTAACACAAAGTGAATTTCCCAGGGGAGAGCATGCAGCAGGAATTTTGCTGTAAAGTCACCACACTTAAGAGATTTTTTTGCTGAAACTCGCACGTTTATTTCAAGACGGGGTAGTCCACTGCCTGGTCACAGTGAGCCATCGTGTAATGACTACAGAACATTTCTCCAATCCTCTCCTGACAAGAAGTACCAGAGTGAGGTGAACATCCCTTCATAGCCTGAGCGATCTGTTCTCCCACCACTGAGAAACCCACCGCAGAGCTCTTCTGCTCACTGGCACCACATCCCCACTTTTGCTGCTGAGCGCTAAACCAGCTGCGCCACCTGGCTCCTGGCTGTACTTCTTCACATGAGAAAGGTCTCAGCAACAACATTATTATTCTGTTTGTTCAGAGACATGATAGTTGCATTATTTTAGCCTGATTTCCTGAGAACACAAAGATCATTAACATCACTGGTCTCTACAGCTCATGTGCGCGCACCTGTTTTAACTCTGGAAACTACTAATGACTCCTGATCAGATTTGACCAAGGAGAGATCCCAAAGGTACGCCCCTGCAGGTGTTAGGGAAATTGGTGGAAAAGAGCAATATGAAGCACACTACTGATGGGGGAAAAAAGCTCAAGTGCAACACTTGCCATTTCAAACCAAAAAGGATCTGCAGGAGAGGCTTTCTTCAAGCCTCCTTAATAAGTGGACCTGTGGAAAAAAGGCCTCTCTGTTTAGCTGAAAGATCTAAGTCAGTACAAGTAACTTGTCAGATACTGCAATCTACAAAAAGAAACAAACCCATAGTAGTCAAGCTTCCTTAATTCAAATGCTCATGGAGTTTCTGTTTTATACCTCCATTACCTGGTTCTATCCCCAAATCTTTTATTCTATTTCCTGTTTGAATAAGACTCTTTTTGGCTTGTGGCATGAGGCTGTGATCAAGCAGTGAGCAACCACAAGCAGCACTGTTTATCTACACAGAATCATCTGGAAAGAAACTGAATTTGACAACGGCTGGGAGCCAGGATCTGGCTGAGGAGGCCCTGAAGGGACGATGAGCAGCCACAGGGGAGGTTTAGCATGGCCTCAAAAACATGCACCACTGCAAACTGAGCATCTGGGTTCACACTTTGTGTTCAGGCTGTGGTACTGCCTTCAGACTGAAATACGGCAATTCTAGATGGTTGGTTTGAGCATTTCTGCCTGTGTGCTGCGGTGGGCCCTGCTTTATACCTCAGTGATGGACAGGAATGCAGCCGCAAGTGATACTGGCTTAATTTTCCTGATTTACATCACGGCTTAATGCTATCTTCACTAGAACTGCCTTCCTTCCCCAAAACACATACATTTTTCAGCATAAGTGAGAGAAAATAAACTGCAAAATCTGAGCTCTATTTCTTTAGCTTGGACAGCAGCTGTCCTTACATCAGTTTAAAACGCCACGAACCACAGGTAATCAGGTGCTTCAGTTCTACGCACAAGACATTTAACCAATGAAGGAGATACACAACTGACACAGATTGCTTCCCTCGCCCCAAAGTTGTTAGTAAGATTTCCAGATAGAGCACAAACTCATAAGACAGGCAGCTGAGGCACAGGCAGGGACCAGCAGAAAGCCAGGGCAGCACTAACAGTCTAGCCAAACGCCTGGGCAGAATAGCATGAGCCTTCAGTAGCCAGAAGCCTGCTTGGCTCACCCCAAAGAGGAATCAGATAGCTTGGTTATAGGCAGGAGCAGAACGGTCTCTGTGAGGTGCATTTACACTAATATACTAACAAGTCTGTTCCTCCATAGCTTACATGTGTACCTGTCCTTAACACAAACAATTAAAAAAAACCCACAAGCCCATTAGCTGGTAGCTTGAAACAAAAATATGAAGATTTTGCATTAATTAGCAATCAAGTTTCAGGGTTTATCACAGGAAAAGGGATCTAAATACATTCGCATTACGTGTGGATGCACTCTACTCAAAGTTCACCACCTAAACATTCACAGGAGCACAACCAGCTTCTTGTTATTTACTTGGCTGCTCAACAGCAATAGTGAGGTACTCATGCAGGAAACACACTTGAGGTTTTAAATCACAACAGACATTCTTTGCTGCTGCTCTGAAAGATGAGAATCCCTACCTCCGTTTAAGTGCAGATTTCCAGCCACAAATTCTTTTTCTCAAAACAAAATGTCACCAAAACGTCTTTCTTGTACCAGATTTAATCCCCTCAGCACCATGACTTTTCCAGCAATGTACATAACCAACATTCTTCACAATAAATAAACTTTGATTTTTTGTTGTTTCTTTTTTTAAGGGTTATGTTTTTGTTACTTCTTGCTTTTAAAGAAGAATAACACTGAAGAATAAAAGTCACCTCTTGTCCAGATGGATGACAGCAGCACCTACTAACAGCACCCACGCCACTCCACTGCTGCCAAGAACCCAGCACCCTCCTTGCTTAGGCTACTAAGAGACTCAGAACGGAGGCTACGTCAGCCCCAATAACCAGCACCAGGAAAGGCCCATCTCGATGGCAGAGGCTGCTTGTTGTGCACCCTGAGCTCAGCCATCACACCTCCTGCACATTACATGAAGGCACACATACACTTCCTTTGTGTATGCAGATTTTTGACTGGAAGACACCACACGCCAACTAAATAAATGCCATTCAGATTAGAAAGGGAAAAAAAACAAAACACTGAAAACCGCATGGGTGAGTGAACAGAGTGACCTCTGGCAGACTAGTATGTGACATTAAAGAGAAGACGGTAACATAGAGCTTACTGTTCCCACTGGCAGCTAGAAATAGGAACAAACAGGCAAGCAAGATGAGTCACTGGTTAAGACACGGAAAAGATGCGATGTCATGAAAAGCCCGTGAAGTTTCAAATGCTGCCAGGAGCAAAATAACATCTGGTTCCTTCAGAACTCAGCGCTGATTAAAATGCTCCATTTTAACAGATTGTATTGAGCATTTTTCCTTTCTTATTATTGAATGCTCCTGTTGCTGAAGAGTCACTGGAACCTACTCAGGCGCACCCAGATACCTTGAGAGCCAGCTCCACGTGAGCAGTATCAGCAACATGCAGCAAAACATTTATGTTGGGGAAAAAAAAGGAAAACCTACACAATAAAGCCATTCTTGTCTTTCATATAAGAGGTTCTACCCTTGCAAAATATTTTTTAAACATTTTCCTGCCTTCGCCCAACTTCCACTTCTCTAACTGCAAATAAACAATCTGAGATAGCAGCAAGATCCAAATACATTGCATCCCTTGATAGACCACCTACTCAGGGTAAGAAATAAAACCATCACCACAAAGACAAAATAAAAAGAGGAAAAAAAAGTGTCTGAATGCAATTTCACATAAAGTTTGCCAGTTCTGCAAGACCTTTTCAGTTCTCCTACATATACTCTTGAGTTACCTCAGCCAACCTTTGTAAGAACAGCTGTACAACACAGAGATGTCTGAGCAACGTCAGCCACTATAAACAGCGTTAATTTGCTGGAGTTGTCAAGTTGTCAAGA